CAATGTATAAAGGTTCTTTTCTCTCCACAACCTCGCCAAAACTTGTTACTTTTTGAATTTTTGATAATAGCCATCCTAACAGGTGTAAGCTGATATTGCATTGTGTTTTTGTTGCATTTTCCTAATGGTTAGTGATGTCAAGCATCTTTCTATGTGTCCGTTGGAACTTTATACATCTTCTTTGGAAAAATATCTATTGTTTCCTCTACCCATTCTTTAATCATTTTCTTAACTTTTGAGTTGTATGAGTTCCTTATATATTTTGGATACTAACCCCTTACCAGATACATGCTTTGCAAATATTTTCTCCAATTCTGTAGGTTGCCTTTTTATTTAGTTGATCATTTCTTTTGTTGTGCAAAAGCTTTCCAGTGTGACGTAGTCCCACTTGTTTAGTTCTGCACCTGTTGCTTGTGCTTTTGATGCCATATCCAGAAAGTCAGTCAAAGCCAAAGTCATGAGATTTTTCCCTTTGTTTTCTTCTAGGAGTTTTACAACTTCAGGTCTTATGTTTAAGTTAGTCGTTAATCCATTTCAAGTTGGTTTTTGTATACAGTATAAGATAAAGGTCCAATTTCATTCTCTTGCATGTGGATATCCAGTTTTCCCAATGCCGTTTATTGACAAGACTACCTTTCCTACTTTGTATTCCTGGCACCTTCCTTGAAGATTAGTTGACCATTTATGTGTGAGTTTATTTCTGGATTCTCTATTCTGTTCCATTGGTTTGTGTGTCCATTCTTAGCCACTACCATACTGCTTTGATTCCTATAGCTGTATAATATGATCTGAAATCAGTGTGAGTGGTGTCTCCAGCTTTGCTCTTCTTTCTCAAGACTTTCTCAATAGCTTTAGCTATGCAGGGTCTTTTGTGGTTCCAAATGAATTTTAGGATTATTTTTTCTATTTCTGTGAAAAATACCATTGGAATTTTGATAGAAATTGCATTCAATCTGTAGAACAGTTTAGGTACAATGGATGTTTTAACAATATTAATTCTTTCCAGCCTATGAACATGGGATATCTTCCCATTTATTTGTGTCTTCTACAATTTCTTTCATCAAGACTTTAACAAGAAACAAAGAAGGTCATTAAATAATGATAAAATGTTTCATCAAGAGGATATAACAATTGTGAACGTATATGCACCCAACATTGGAGCATCTAAATATATAAAGCAAATATTAATAGAACTGTTGGGAGAAATAGACAATAAAGCAATAATAGTAGGGAACTTCAACATCCCATTTTCAACAGAGGCTAAATCATCTGGACATAACATTAAAAAGGAAATATTGAATCTGAACTACTTTTAGGCCAGATGGATGAAGTGGAACAGAACAGTGCATCCAACAGCAACAGAATACAGAACATTCTCTAGGATAGATCTTTTGTTAGGCCTCACAGTAAATCTTAACAAATTTAAGGAAGTTGAAGTCATATCAATATTTTTTCCAATTACAAAGTTATGGAACTGGAAATCAGGAATAAGAGGACAACAGGAAGACTCACAAATATGTGGAAATTAAACAACACACTTCTAAAAAAAAAAAAACAAAACAACAAAACCCAACTGTCAAAGGAGAAATCAACAGGGAAATTAAAAAAAAAACAACAAAACACTTGAGACAAATGAAAATGGAGATACAATATACCAAAACTTACGGAATTGTGCTTTATGATGTGCATTCTTTTAGTGTATGTGTCTTATCAAATCTAAAGGGTAACTAGGGAGCTAAATGGGGCCATGCAAGGATACCCTTCTCTTATTAGGTTAGGTCTAAATCTTCTCACACAAAAGCAGGAGACATATGTTCTGCTTATTTTTCCTTAGGTCAAACTACAGAACTGAAATGCACTCGAGTTCTGTGAAGTCCCAGATACCAGCTCTGAGGAAGAAAAGAAGAAAGTCAGAGAAAGACCAAGAACATTTCAGAGAATGCCTGGTTCAGATTCAGTAAACCCTTTGAGCCAGGACTCCTCAGGCTACAGCTGAAGGACTCCAGGCTATGGCTGTAGCCCCATCACAAATTAACATCAGTGTTCACACATTTGGAATTATGGTAGGTGCTGTCACCCTCTTGGCATCTTCTTTTAAGCCTTTGCTAAGTTTATGAATACTTTTAATTCTGTTGTCTCCAAACATATAGGACTAATCCCTCCAATTCAACACATATCCAAGTCACTCAAATTACTACTATTTTGTGAAAGGTAGTTTAGGAATAGGGGATTGATGTGACCATCTGGAGTAGAGGCTCTGCCGCTCCCCGGGTATGAGAGTGTGGGTGAATCATTTATATCTCTCTACCTCTCTCATGCAATGGAGCTGCAACTTCACGACCATTGCTAAATTTAAATGTGATCATGTTTGGGTGCTAATCACTGGGAACACGGGTAATCAGTGATAGATTGGTTAACCTAATTTTCTGTGGTGAGTTATTTCAGTCTTTTATCTTAGTTACTATTTTCTCTGGCCTTTTTTCCCCCTGTTGTTCCCCTTTCAATTTTAGAGGATGTGTGTGGGGTGCATATGTTTATGTATACTACTTCAAGAAAGCTTTACATAGGCACAGGCAAGCCTCTGGACAAGGTCCCCTTACTCAGCCTACTCACCGACACAGCACATCATTTCTGCAGTGAATTTAGCTTTCAAAAGCCAGGAAGAGGTGAACAGATGAGAAAGACGTGACTTGGCAACCCTTGGAGGGGAAAGAAAAGCGCCTGAGGATAGTTAGTGCTTATGAATTTGGTATGATCCGGTTTTGACAATGTTCCCGTGGTCATTCGAAGGTATAATGATAGATAGGAATGTTCGGATCAAATGAATTATTTTCTTATGCTTTCAAGAGAAGAGTACAAACCATACTTAAAACAGTGTGTTCTGTCCTGGCTCTCACCATAATGAGGAACATAATCAGAATTATGAATATTTGCTTCTGTTAGAAGAACCTCCGTGTTTTTTAAAAACCATTTAAAAAAACATTTTTGCTGAAAAAATTTTAAATATATAACAATATTAAAATAATTTTAGAGTGAACCCCTTGAAACCCACCAGCTAGATTGTATCATTATATTTCACTATGCTAGTTCTTTCGTGTATCTGTCCATTAATCCATCTTTGATACAATTCAAAGTAAATGGCAGACATCAGCATCATTCTGTCTGAAAAACTCCACTGTGCGTATCGCAGTTAAGACTATACTACTATGCTACATGTTTACATTCTTTTACTTGGATGTCAAATTTGCAAACTATGACACGCATAAATCTTAAGTGTGTATTCACTGAGGTTTGACAAATGTATATATCTCTGAACCTAAACTCCTATATTCTGATCATTGATTATTTCACATGTGACTTGCTCTTCTTTCTAAGAAATACAGGATTTTTGGCCTTCCACCCCCAAAGAATAGCTCAGAACTATTCAAGAGATAGTAATTGAGTTATTTACCCAGTTATGGCACCTGAAATAAGCCTTGAAATAAATGGTAGTCTTAAGGCAGGCGAGAGATTTGTATGAGGAAGGAAGGGTAGCCAGAGGGGCCCAAGGCAGCACGAGAGGCCTTCCAGGAGGACAGGACACAGCGGTGGAAACAATTTGTAGGGATAGCTGATAGGAACCTGGCCCGGCTGGAGGGGGCAGTTCTAATAGGAGAGAGGACGAGTGGGCCACGTCGAGAGGCAATATGTCCAAACATGCACAATGACTCAGTTTCCAAACTACATGTAGTACCTACGTGTCTACATTAGAAGTAACTAAATTACACCAGAGAGCAGAAACTGAAGAGGAGAAAAGAACTCAATTTCGCTAATGAGCAGGGCACTTAGTATATAGATAAAAACAGGACAGAGAAAAAGCCCCATGTGATGAGAATTTTCAAAAATGTTAAAGGAACGGAATATAGACATTAAAAAAAACCCAACTATGTAAATACTGAGAAAAAGAACAAAAATATCCTGGGCAGTGAAGACATCAGTATCATGCTGAAACCGATGACAGAGCACAATGGTGAAAGCTACTGATTTTTGAGCTCTCCTTACACATCAGAGATTACTTAACTGCTTACATGTATCATTTTCTTAATCTTCACAATAAATTTAGGAGGTAAGTATTAGTCCCCATTTTACAGGTGAGTACATTGTAAATGAAAGAAGTCAATTGACTTGTTCAAAGACACATAGCTTATGTGAGAGCCCATGACTCGCATTCTGGTCCATGTGACTCAATGATCCACCCTCTTATAATTGCCTTATCTGAACTATGTATTATGTGGGCATTTGTCTTCAGCAAGGGGAATAGTCTTTAAGCACGGAAGAGCACAAATCCTACACTTGAAAGAGTTGAAGGGTGTATTTTCCCTAGCATAACCTAATCTCCCTGGCTCCTGATCTAAAGATCAGATGCACCCCCAGTTTGGTTAGGTCCTGTTCAGTAGTATACATGAAGGGTAACATCTCTGTGCATAAATCTACCATTCCATAGAGATGAAAAAACTGTGGTCTAGGGAGGATGAATATTTTATTTTTATATAAAGTACTTTTCCTGAATTTAGGAAGAAACAATATTATGTGATCTACCATCTAAATAATAGGTATTGCAAAATAATTGTAAACATAATGTATTGTCACATTGTTAAAAGTCCCTCATCACCTACATGCAACTCCAAGAATAGGAAAGGGGAAGGGATTTTCCCAAGATCCCACAGTGACTGGTTGGTTGATTTAGATCCAAAAAACAGGGCTTTTTATCCAAGTTTATGCGAGGTCAATTATTCCATAATGTATCCGTATGTCTTCTTGATCTCAAAGTAAAAACACAAGCAATGCTTCTACAGAATTTACTTTATTAACAAGCAAATCCAGGGAAATAGATATAAACTGAACTACCCAAGAGGCAGGCAGAGTAGAAGGCGTATCTTTATAAATTTAAAGACTCCATTAGAGAAAAATAGAAGTGAGAAAAGAAGTGGCTGGAAGTCAGCACACACACTGCACAAAATTCAGCATTTTCCTTGATGCTTTAGGTTGATCTTCCCACCACTTTTCCTGTAAAAGAGAAAGACAAATATATGCTCAGTGTAATATTGTTATTATTCATTACAAAGGTTGGAAGAAGTTTTGACTACACAGAGTCCCTGCAATCATTTGATTCTATAGGTATCCACATTTACGATTTGGCAGAGGTTAATTAAATGTACTCAGAGATGACATCTGGACAAATTACAGAAAACATGAATCTTACACAAATTTCAGATTTTTACCCAGGCTTGACCTCTTGGTTTCAACTGTTCATTCTCTGAGAGGAAATATGCATACAAACAGAAAAGGTTAAAGTGACCGGAGAGGTAATGGCAAAGGTACACTAGGGCCACAGTCCTCATAGAAGATGTAAGAGGTTGAACCAAATATTCCGGCATTTGGCACTTTATAGCAGGATATATATTCAGACTTTCTCAGTAATATGTGTCCATTAAATTAAATCTCTGTTTACCCTACTGCCTTTCTTCTCTGAGAAAGTTTGGTATTAATTAATCAGATACGTTACATAAGCAAGTAGGCACATATTAATTTATTAATTTCATTCTATGTGCCTGGTTCTGTTATTATAATAGGTAGTTATATAATCCCTGTGCTTAGGCATTTTGCAGTGAAGTTGAGCGAAATTAAGACATTCACAGAAAACTCTAATACCAGAAAATGGCGAGGAGTGAGAGACTTTTATCTGGCTTAAACAAGGGTTATAATTTCCTTGGTTTTAGGGCAATCAATTAGACTAAAAGATTGATTGAATAAATTTTTATTAATTATAAACTGATCCCTTGGGAAGGTCACAGTTTATTGGCTAAAATCTATAGCATCTGTTCTGTTCCTTATAAACGTGTAAATTCAATACACATGGGTCCTTGATGGAATCTTCCTAGTATACTATGTAAAGTTTGACTAGTCTGCATTCTAAAGGATAATCTTTTCCTCTATTCTTTGTTGAACGGCTCTTTTTCATCAAACTAAAAGAGGAATTAATAGAAATTTGTACCTTAGTAACATATAATTTGGTATAAAAGAAAATGTCTGAAAATAATTTGGATAAAATAATATTTTTATTGATGATAAATTTTCCCCAAACTTTTCATGTTTCTGATTTTGATGAGTATGATACTTACACCATTGCCTTACAGAAGGCACATTTATTGCCATATGTCTGGCCATCAGAGCCACAGTGGGGGTTAGATTCCCGCGTGCAGTAGACCTTGGGATCCTGGAACTCACCACAGTCAATCTACCAACGTAAGCACGATGACATTGACATTAGTGAATTCTAGTCTATGGATCTATCCCTCAGAACAGAAGCTTCAGACAGCAAGCTTAAACACACACACACACACACACACACACACACACGTGCGCTCCCGATGTAAAGCTTCCTGAAATAGAAAAATAGCTTTCCTTATCTGCTTAACCAGAATTTACTAAATGTAAATGAGACTCTTTCTCTGAGACACAGGAAACCCATTTCTGTAGTTATGGTATTCAGGAGTAAGTTAATGATGTAAGGTAGATGCTTACTTCTTATATAAGGAGTGAGGTAAATGCTATAGGTATGACTTTTTGCTCCAACACTTAATTATTCAGAGATTAGTTTTTCAACTTTAAATGCTGCTTGCTTGCTCTTTTCTTTCTGCCTTTCTTTCTCTTCCTTCTCTCCTTCCCTCCTCCCTCCCTCTTTCTTTTTCTTTCTTTCTTTCTTTCTTTCTTTCTTTCTTTCTTTCTTTCTTTCTTTCTTTCTTTCTTTCTTTCTTTCTTTTTCTTTCTTTCTTCTTTCTTTCTTTCTTTTGTCTCTCTCTCTCTCTTTCTTTCTTTGTATTAATTTAACTCTAATTGCAGTCTTTATGCCTTGCTATAAAGACGTGGATGATTCTTGCACGGAGTTCTCATATGTTATGTAATGGCTTGTTAGTTTTCCCTGTTGGCTGCTACATCCATTTACTATCTCTTGAAAACAATGGTCTAATGTCTTTATTATTAACTTACTCTGTCTTGGAGTCTATTTGTACGATTTGAACTTTTGTGCTTACTATAAAAACATAGTAATAGCTGCCTAAGCTGCTCTATTTAGAAGGGTTCTGAGGGTGCATCCAGCCTTGGTGAGAACACATACTATGACTGATTAGTAATTATCATCATGGGTTCTATAGAAGGGATGGTAGTACCTATGCACTAATATTTCTCCTTAGTTTTAGCGGTCTTTCAGAATAGTCTGGAGTTTTCAATTCAGTGTCAACTGAGTAAATATTTGGTGTGCAAATGGCATTTGAGTCATTTTATTCCAGAGTACAGGCAATATGTAATAGGTAAAACTGAACTCCTCCAAATGTCAGCTGTGTGGGCTGAAGTAACATTTAAACATGAACACAGGGACCATACTTTACTCCATCTTAGTTCCATTAAAACAACACTGTCTTATGTTTATTAATTGAGTCATAATATTTAAGCTACTCTTATATGGATTATGTGAGTTGAGTCTTACAATAACCCTGCCTGAGATATACGGCGAACGATGTTATATTATCTAGTTTACAGATGTGAATAGTGATCCTCAGGAAAATTACGTGGCTTACCAATGCCACACAAGCAGATGTCACTGAAACCAGTGCTTAAACATATTGCTTCTCCTTGCTGGTCTAGAATTTCCAACAACCTACTATGGCAGATTTCCAACACATCCTCACTGAGAGAAATAAAGATCAACTGTCACTATGCACCCTTGACCACACTTATAGTCATGACTTGGAGACTTCATGAAAATACCTTATTAGAGAAATGTTTGGGCATAGGTGAGATGAATTATTTGTTTAAGATATGAGTAAACCATTATATATTGATAAAGCCCTCTGATGGTTTGCATGGAGAAACACTCAGCAAAAGAATCACACTGCTGGGTTTAAAAATATTATCACATGTAACAGGTTTAAGGCACCTGAGACTATTAAATATAGATGTTTGTTGAGATTTGGCAGTTGTACTGTTGAGGTTGGGCAGTATGGTACTTATCAGAGATCTTAGGGCATGGCTTCGAGAAGATAGGCTTCTCATAGTCCCACCTAAAGTTCTACTTTTCCTGAAAGCTCTTAAAGATAACTCCATCCTCTCATACTACCTCCCAGACGGTAATCTTTCCTTTAGGTCTCCAAACAGAAAAAAGGCTGGAAAATCTTTGGGGTCTTATAAATCATAGGATAATTTTCTCAAAAGCTAATGTATTTTACACTTAAGTCATTGATGTACACATTTGCAGCTGTGTGCTTGAGTCAAGAAACTGTAAACACCAGAATCATCTCTGATATTTTCATTTATTCCACAAACAGCCAATGGGTAACTACTATTTGGAGGACACAGTGCTGAGCTCTGGTGATACAGAGAAGAATCAGTTATAAACAATATAAGCTCACCATCTCATCTGCATGAAGGAAGCAGAGAAAATATAGATAACTGGGACGCCTGGGTGGCTCAGTTAAGTGTCTGCTTTCAGCTCAGGTCATGATCCCAGATTCCTGGGATCAAGCCCGCGTTGGGCTCCCTGCTCAGCGGAGAGTCTGCTTCTCCCTCTGCCTGCTGCTCCCCCTGCTTGTGCCTTCTCTCTCTTTCTGACAAATAAATAAATAAAATCTTAAAAAAAAAAAAGACACAGATAACCATAGCATGATGTGCGATCAATGCCACAGTGGGCCAGGCACGGGCATTGTGGAAGCTGAAGACAGGGCATCTTGGTCAGAGATACATGTGTCTCTACAGCCAGGTCAGTGAGAAAAAGAAAAAACAAAGTCTCTTATATGAGAGAGACACCTCCTTAAGACACCTTTCCCTGGCAGTTGGCCCTCTGATCTTGCCATCCAGCCTCTTTTGTCCTTCAGAAAGTGATATGAAAGAGGCAGATGGGGAGGGTTCACTGTTGGGAGTGTCTAGACGCCACCCCCTCCCCAAGCCCACTTCTCCCCTTCCACTGCCCCCTGGGAATGACCTGGAAGAATACAAGATTTCAACAACGAAAACCCAAACAATCAAATGGCCTATGCACAGACTTCCTCAGAACATAGACACACTTCATGCTTTCGGATTGTCCTGGCCTCTAGTGATCCCTGAAGGGAGCCAAGGAATCCTGTTACAGAATTTGTTCTGCCACACACAATTAACTAGTTGTGTCATCTTGGACACATGCTTCATTCCGAGCACTGTTATGAGGATCAGAGGGGGTCAAGAGGAATTGTAGAAAGTCAGGGAGAATACTTGAAACAACCTTGGGCAAGGATGCGGAAAATAAGCTTCTGATGGCAGCCCTGCTTCAACTGTACCATCGGACTAGACGGCCTAGATCTTCAGTTGAGTGGGAGAAATAACAACTTCTGCCCAAGTGCTTCCTCTTTTATATCTAGAGGCTCCTCTTCACTCAGTGTGTGAGAAATTTTAGCATGGTGACTGAGGACAGAAAAAGACCACTCTCTGAGAGCCCCGGAGGACAGGGAAGGTGAACGATGCCTTTGCAGGGACACCCAGAAATCCCTTCTGGGAAGCAAAGAGCAAGGCAGGGGCATAGCAGGGCTGGGACTAGGAAGAGGCCAGGGCTCTCATAACTGGAGAAGTGGGCTGATTTCTGAATGTCACACCTTTTTTGCGCCTAACTGTCCTCTCCCCTTTTACTATACAGAAGTCAAAGCAGGTCTAGACTAAGGGGATGGTATGATTGTTTCTTCCTCCTTGAAAGTTTCCCCTATGAGGGATTTAGGAAACCCAAGAGAGCTGAAATTCTCCTCTCCCTGAATTGGTTAGAATCCCCTACTGCTCTGTCATGTTGGGTCACTGTCCTGTAGATGGAATCAGACAGACCTGGCTCTGAATTTTGCTTCTTTCACTGATTAGTTACACTACCTTGTGCAAAAATTTGACTGCTCTGAGATTAAGTTTCTTCATCTTTAACGGGGCTGATAATGCCTATCTTCTGGGGTTATCGTAGTGATAAATCCTTTGAAAACACTTGGTAAAGCTCCAAGTATGTGCAAGATTGCTACTATGAATATTAACAGTGTAAATTATATCATAATCTACAATTTTTGGAACCCATTATTTTTATCCTATTTTAGTGAATTTTTTGATGTTTTTTTTTAAATTGGTGTTGGATTTAATAAGCACCTCCATTTATTTCCTGAGTTCAGCTTCTGAAGACCATGTTTAGGCACTTGGGTGCCAGTGTTTAGTATCAGCCTGACCTCTTGTGGTTCTTCAAAGAACTGTACCTTCTAAAATATTCTGGAATAGAGGGACACTTTTAGTACCCAAATCAGTGTTTTTTGCTAACGGGCACTACCAAATCATTTAACTTGTCTGGAAAATGAGCTTGTATGGTTACTCAATCAACTAAAGAGTCAGGATCACTGATATTTTACTCTAGCATTTTAGTTCTACAAATAAAGCCAATGAAAATTTGCAAACACACACAATCACACCCATACACCTTAGAGTGTAGGACTTCATCTATTCTCCCCATCACTGAAAAATACTAGTTTAGGCACCCCTAAACTACTGTGTTCATTATAATACTTCTTTGCTTAAGAACTGAGGATAGTAAACACTAACATGTATTTATTTGCTCAGAAAATTATGCTGCTCAATACGAATTCACGTGCCCTGCAAAATGGCTTCCTGTTGCTGATCAGAAGTAGCGTGGAAGGGCTCAGTCAGTTGAGCGGTTGAGCGTCAGACTCTTGACTTCAGCTCAGGTCATGATCTCAGGGGTTTGAGATCGAGCCCCGCATTGGGCGCCCTGCTGGGTGTGGAGCCTGCTTAAGATTCACTCTCCCTTTCCTTGTACCCCTCCCGCCCCCCCCAAAAAGAAGCAGCATGGAGCCACAGATGGTCACTCAATGTGGAGTTGGGTGTCCTGAGATGGTGACTGCACAGCTTTACTGCTGTTGGTAACCTTGAGTGAGGTAGGTTCTCTTTCTGAAGCCCGAGTTTCCCTATCTCTAGTTAAAGTATAGACGCTGGTTAACACTGCCAAGTTATATTTAGGTGTCCTGTCAGTATGTTAATTAAAGTTAAAGCAAGCTAATTAGGAAAAATGAACAGCCCCAAACATATTTTAGGCATGGAGCATTGTTTTACTAACTATACTAAAATTTACCATGCTTTTATCTTAAAATGCTAACAAAAATAAATGTAGATATCTCAAAATTATTGTAAAAGAAAATGGTTGACATTTATTTTCAAGCAGTTTGTTATGTTAATTCCAATCTGGAATATTAATTTAAACAGCTCCCTAAGGATATGGTTCCCAAATACCCAGCCTGGTAAGGAAATAAGAAAAACAAAGACAAAGTAGTGAGTGGTTCTAAAAGCAAAATGTATTCTGTTCAAAAAACCATCCTTGTTTTGAGATTATGTCTTTCAAGCATTTTGGTATTATACTATAATTTCTTTAATGAAGGCTGATGATGGTAAATAGTAGTTTTATGTTTAATTATTATTATTAGATTTTTATTTTTATGTTATTTAATATTCCTACTTGGCAAATTAAAGAGTTGGCAGCTTATTAGTCACTTATATTTACAGGGAAAATTTTACAGGACTACGAATTCCCAAAGTGCAGGAACATGCTTTTTGTTTAGTTTGAACACTCTTTTTGAAAGAATGTGAAACTTTTACAAATCAATAATTTAAACTGCTCATTCTAATTTCCCCTCAGGTGCTCCATCATGGAGAGACTTCCTGGCATGAGAATATTGACTTTGGTGTTAAGAGTAAATGCTCTGCCTTTTGTCCTGGCTGGATCAGACTTGAGCAGGCATGCTCCCAAGGTTAGTTTCAATTTCTGCTTGTCGTTGGGACTGCCATCATCCTTCCAGACACACAGAAGAGAAACGTCACCTTTGTGCCATCTGAACGGTGGCTCCCTCCTGGCCCTTGATATTTGAGCGCAAAAGAGACAGCAGTCTTGGTCAGGCAGGCTTTGTTCATACGAATCCAGATACCTAAGGCCAGAACAGGGCTCTGGAGATGCTTGAATCTGTATTTTCATCTTAGAGATGTGGAAACAAAGGCAAAGAGAATGGAAGAGACACCGTTCGGATCACACAGCCAGCAAGGATTTGAACAAGGACTCATCTATACTGTCCTGAGGGTGTTTGAGTGCTCCAAAGTCAGTGCTTTCCAGCATCAGATAAATACCAAGAACCTAGGATCAAAACTCCTCAGCTGTGTGATTATTACTCAGTAAGCCTGGCATGGTGCCTGGGGATCTGCACATTGAGGAAGCATCCCCCAGGATCCTCAGGCAAGCAGACTCTAAGACTTGGGTCCGTCTATAGGAACAGAACCAGTAAATAGCAGATTTTCAATGAACCCTAGAAAGCACTAAAAATCCAATCTGGAATTCGAAGCCGAAAGAAGAAAAGCAACTTGTGGGTTAATGAGAAAACGGGTTAGATTCCATTTATTTTGAATCTCTGTGTAATGGCCTTATCATATTTTACTACCTAAAGGGATATGGAATGTTTGTCTGGATCTTATGTCCTTTCTCTGTTTGTTTTGATATTTAACATAGATTATGCTACCATATACATTTAAACATAAGGATAAATCAATTTTAAGGTGTATAATTACATATAGTAATACAAACACACGTGTGCATACACTAAGACACAACACACTGGCAGTTCATTCTAAGGTATCATCCATTATAAGATGCATCTCAATTTCTGAGATGCTAAAATTTGAAAAAAAAGTTTTATGCAAGTGGGAGGTATACTAGGGTTGGAAAATATTTTTTAGCTCCTTTGCCAACTCCAATCAGTTGGCAGTAGTGTCTGGGAATTTTTTTTTTTTTAAAGATTTTATTTATTTATTTGAGAGAGAGAATGAGACAGAGAGCATGAGAGGGAGGAGGGTCAGAGGGAGAAACAGCCTCCCTGCCGAGCAGGGAAGCCCAATGCGGGACTCGATCCCGGGACTCCAGGATCATGACCTGAGCTGAAGGCAGTCGCTTAACCAACTGAGCCACCCAGGCGCCCCATGTCTGGGAATTTTTGATGCCAAAAGTTCTTGAGCACAACGAGGCTAACCAAGAACCAAGGCCAAAGTCAAGTGAACACATTCAGTATAGACACAAGAGCAGGATTGGCAGAACAAACACCACTTATTTGTGTTGTCTTTTGGTAGAACAAGAGACTGGAAAAAAGGTGGTGGATTAATTTGGAAAAAAAAGAATCAGCCAAATAAAGAAGATAACTTGTGCCTATTCCAATTTTTAACCCCAATTGTATTTAATTTCGAGTGAATCTCTTTGTACATACTCAGTGCAACACACTTAACAAGCTTGCTCTCTAAGCAGAAAATAAAAGCCTCTGGCCTAATATCTCCTTTAGAAGCTGCTCATGATTGATCACTAAGTTATCCTTCTATAGTTTACCAAACGCTCCCACATAGTTTATGTAACTTAAATCTAATTCTATGAGGTGAATAATATTATTCCTTTTCTATAGTTGTGGAAATTACGGCTCAGAAAAGCTGAGTAACTTGCCCAAGATCACACAGTGAAATCAGAGACTAAGCATTAGCACGATGACAGATTCGTCCTATTTTTATTTACATTCATTTCACTTTAACAAAATCTGAGAATAGGCATTTAGGGTCTTTAAAACTGTAAACAGTATACTCAATGAGATATTGTAGTTAAAAAAAATGAGTTACTTCTGATTTCTGCATTTGGGCCGCATGTTCCTTGTTTCTGCTCTTTTACCCATAGGCAAACCTCTGTTTGGTTGGGGAATACCAGCCAAACGCCACCCAGGTCTGAAGAATAGGTAAAAAATATACACTGACCTGTCCTCCTTGACTGAAGACACCTGAAAAGAAAGCACAAAATCCAAACAATGTAGTCTTTGAATGTGCAAAAAGCAGGATTTGTGAAATTAGGACACCCTCAAGCTGGGAATGATACCTTTTCTTGATTCTTCGTCACCTGAATAAGTCATGGTATGGTAGTTTTATTGTTTACACCTGTTCATTTCTCAGGGCACAGCAGACACTTCAAAAATGATTTATATATATATATATAATGTACATGGACCATGATGGGTAATATTTCTTGGAGGTTTGGGGGGAAGTTAGAGGAAATAGTTTAAGGATCTGGAGATTCATGTGACAGTCCTGGTCGAGTCACGAATTTACTATGGGAATGACCTTGTCATCTCTGGCTTCAAGATAGAGAAGTTGGGTTGGAAAGTTTCCTCTCACTTTGACAGTCCAGGGTTCAGTGCATGCAGACCTCCCCAAAGCCTTTGTCCCAGGCAGCTGGGGAAGACACTACATTTGTTGTTTGTTCTTTGAGCCCCAAATTGCTCTTCTGCCCTTTATACTCAACCATCTTTGAAGACTTGGCCCAAATATAGACTCGTAAGGACAAACTCATTCTCTTTTTTTGTGACTTATTTCTCCTGCTACATCTTTCTAAATTCCTGAAAGAAGAAGAAAAGTCCATAAATACAGTCTTGCTTCTCTCTCTCTCCCTCCCTCCATCTTTAGGATTATGTATGTGATTTTAAGTTGTGGCTAATTAGCTCAGTGGTTTAAAATACTGATATATAGGGTGCCTGGGTGGCACAGATGGTTAAGTGTCTGCCTTTGGCTCAGGTCATGATCCTGGGGTCCTGGGATCGAGTCCCGCATCAGGGTCCCTGCTCTTCGGGGAGCCTGCTTCTCCCTCTGCCTCTGCCTCTCTCTCTCTCATGAATAAATAAATAAAATCTTAAAAAAACAAAAAAACGCTGATATCTTTCTTTTAAAATAAATAAAAAAAAAACTGATATAATAAAGGTCTTGGGTTGAATTCTGGTATGAGCTGTTGAATCTTGATCTGGCCATAACTGCAGAATTCCTAATGCCAACAACACTTCTCATGTGTAAGCCCAAGGGCACTTTGATGACAGAATTGCATGAGTGCAATCCTTCTCAAGTGCTGGCCTGCACTTGCAGGAGAACAGCTGGAAATACGTCAAGTGTATTCTCTATTCAAGGGGAAAGGAGAAACAAGGCTTTTGAATTTAAAAGGAAGTTAATGAACATCTGCTGTAGTGATTGCCCACCTTACTGCAGCCACGTGGCTGGTTATTACATGGGAGCTATGCTTGTGGTGAGCACAGCAGAACGTACATACTTGGTGAATCACTATGTTGTACACCTGAAACTAATGTAACCCTCCATGTCAACTATAGTTCAGTAAAAAAAAAAGGATTTCTCTGCTAAAAAACTACAAAAAAACAAACAAACAAACAAAAGCACAATTTCAACAACAACCAAAAAATAAAGATTCTTAGGACAATCGCTCTAAAATTCCATTCTATAAGATCAAATAGGACCTGGGGTGCCTGGGTGGCTCAGTCGGTTAAGCATCTCTTAGTTTTTTTTTTTTTTTTTAAAGATTTAATTTATTTATTTGAGAGAGAGAGAATGAGAGAGAGCACATGAGAGGGGGGAGGGTCAGAGGGAGAAGCAGACTCCCTGCCGAGCAGGGAGCCCGATGCGGGACTCGATCCCGGGACTCCAGGATCATGACCTGAGCTGAAGGCAGTCGCTTAACCAACTGAGCCACCCAGGCGCCCAAGCATCTCTTAGTTTTGGCTCAGGTCATGATCTCAGGGTCATGAGGCTGAGCCCCGCCTAGGGTTCCACACTCAGTGGGGAGTTTCCTTGAGACTCTCTCTCTCTCTGCCCAACCCTCCCCTCGGCCCACCTCGCCTCACACTCTCACATGCACTCTCTCTCTCAAATAAATAAATAAAATCTTAAAAAAAAAAATCTCTGATAGCAGCAAACTTCAACTACTTTTGTCACAAGTGCTGTATCAGACATGGAAGTTCCCAGGATGCAATCTCATTTCTGGCATTCTACAAATGAGAGAAGATCTCGAAATGCTGTGCTATTTCTCCAGGTGACACAGGTCATTAGTGAAAGAGGTGGGGCTAGGTGCTGGGTCTAGAGTCTCTAGCATGTGCTTTGTCCACTGCAACAGCGAAGAGTAGAATAATAAAGAAGGAAAGAAATAGGTACAGTGAAACTGTTCATTCATATGATCCTGTGATGAAAAATATCAGATTGAACTGTATTATCCTTTAAACAACCCGAATTGATAGAATGAATATATGACTCTTGCTCATTAAAGTGGCCAAAGATATTCCCTTGCTTGAGGAATTAATTCACCACCAGCATATACATTTTGGCATTTTAAGATTCCATAACTTTCCTGAAGCATTCTCCGAGTTGCCTTCTTCCTCCTTGTTTCAATTTGTTATTTAAATTCCAATTATAAGAATAATGAGGACAGGAAATCTTTCTTTTGTCTTGGAAGCCAAACTACTAGATACAACAATTACTCATCCTCCAGACTAGTTCTGTGGAACAAACATCTGTAATACCCAGAAGTCCTGGATTCAAATTCTAAATTCTACTTCCTCGTTACAAGTCCTTTGGCAATTTTAAGTTCTTTATGCTACAGTTTTTTTTTATATGTAGAGTATAAACATGAATACCTTGCCGTATGTATTGGAGATGATGTAGAAAAACCCTCAGTACATGCCTAGAATATAGTATATGCTCAACAAAACATTATTTTTATCATTACTATCACCATTCTCATCTCACAATCATTATCACCACTACAATGATCTCAGAATTGGCCTTTAATATCAAGATTGTTAGGATTTTGAAATATGGTAGATAAATACCCTTATTTCCAGTTCAGTATGAATACTGGATTTTAATTTTAAGAAAAAAGAAATGAACTCACCCGAGAAAATGCTGAAAAGAGCCAGAGAGAGGAGCAGAAAGACACTCAATATTCTCATGGTGCCAGTTAGCTCACTCAGATCAAGGCTCCTTTGTCTAGCTCAGCTTCTGTGTCAAGACACTTCCCAGGGTACTAAAACACACACTGAGACATATATATATATAGACATGATCAAGGGAGCTGGGATCTCCACCTACCTTATAAATCACCTTCTAAAACCATATGCAAATCTACACAATTTAGGCATTTATTGGGACCTCTTACCAACTCAAAGAAATGCTTTATGCTCTCCATCATTCTTAAAAATTAGAACAATTATGTGAGTCGCACCTTAGATCTTATTAATTGAGGATGTCATTTTCTACCTGTAGTTTATGTTTTCCTAACAACCAATACATCCTCCCTACTCTTCCCTCTAAGGTTTTGCTACATTAAAGGGATGATTCACTGGTGGAGCCTGCTTAATGTCTAGGTCTCTTTCAGACAGGTCCTGCATGTATGTGGTCCAGATGAGTAACCACAGGGGAATGGAATCTAGGGTGTAACTTGGATTTTCAAAGTCCATGTCATCCAAGATGTACCCCAAAGAAATAGGTATTCTACATTGTCACCAGAACTGTGTTAGCAAAAGCATTTTCTGGGGAGGAATCAGCCTGTTAATTTTAAAAATCATTACTATAGTCAGATGCCAGTGATTTTCAATTCTTTTTTTTAAATTTATTTATTTTTATTATGTTCAGTTAGCCAACATATAGTATGTCATATGTGATTTTCAATTCTGAAGTCAAAATGAAGAAGGGAGTCAATGTATTTTTTATTTATAAAAATTATTTTTATCCATTCATTAATTGATGGTGTTGTATGGAAGTATTGAATCACTGTATTGTTCACCTAAAACTAATATTACACTGTATGTTAACTAATTGGAGCTTAAATAAAAAGTTAAAAAATTATTTTTAAAAGTTACTGAATTAAGGAATATTTAAAATAAGTAATATGAACTATTTCCCTTTTCTCTGTAAAGTAAAAAAAAATAGTCATAATAAAACTTTTTGTTTTAGCTCCTTGAAAATATACTGTTCATACACATAGATGAATCCCATTAACTATTATGGTCAAGTCATTTGCAAGAGAGATCAAAGAGTGGGATGTCCATAGCTTTCTTTGTGGGAACAACAACAAAAATAAACAATGGTTATAGTGATAATGAGAAAGTCTGTCTCAAATCACAAACAGCTACTTAAAATACCATGAAGAAAAACGGAGCACTTTAAAGTGTTGGAAGAACATGCAAAATGTGTCCAGTTTAAACATTCCTATGTGGAACATAAAAAAACAAAACAAATGAATAAACATATAAACAAAAAGCAGAATCAGGCTTATAAATACAGAGAACAAATTGATGGCTGCCAGTGGGAAGGGGGGTGAGGAGTTGAACAGAATGGGTGAAGGAGAGTGGGAGATACAGACTTCCAGTTATGGATGAGTAAGTCACGGGAATAAAAGGCACAGCAGAGGGAACACTGTCAATGACATTGTAACAGCAGTGTGTGGTGACAGACACTGGTGGTGAGTATGGGGTCAGGTATAGAGAAGCCAAGTCACCGTTTTGCACACCTGAAACTAAGTAACACTGTATGTCGACTGGAGTCAAACAAAAAAAATTAAAAGATTAAAAAAATAAACACAAGTGATTAGTGTGTTTTATGTATAAATAACTCAGAAATTCTACTTCTAAACAATGGGCTTCCTTTTCCAATAATCACATTGAGAAAATATATACGTAGTTCAGATATTGTTCATTTTATTTCAGGATATTTCTTTTCTTTTTGGAAATTGACATATTAATTTGATTCATCTCAGAATTTAGGATGTATTTTCAGTCTTTGGAAATGGCAACTATATTGCATTGAATTTGGTAATCAAATAAAATATTGCTGTTTAATAAAAAATGAAGCATGACTGTAATAAAAATAAGAATTATTTTCTTTTATTTGCTTTTCTGACAGTTTTAAAAGATGTGAACTTGAAGGGTAGAGGAGATGGGGGGATGAGGGGTACAGGTAGGAAAGAGAGGAAAGGAGTAAGAAGGAAAAGCACCTGCTTGGTTTTCATTCTAAGGAGTGTGGTGTAACACACACGTAGACACATACATGCTCACATATACATAATCTTGAAGTCCTTTGCAGAAGGTCGTGGGTCAGATGTCAAGCACTAAAAGTTTCAAAGACCACTAAAGAACAACCTTAACAATTGTCTTTAAATTTTTCTTGAATCTTTATGGGAAGAAATTTTGTGGCTTCCAAATATTCTTACCAATTAATATGTGCTCAGAAAATGTTTGATATATAACTGAGATTGAATTATCTTCAATCGGCAAGACAAATGTATTCTGCTATTATTGTGACATGAAGAAAAAAATAATAAAAATAAAATTTCATTCTTTGACACAGAAATCTTAGCTTATATAAAATTGAATCCACTCTACTCAGTATATTAGGTCCAAACCTCATTAATGTTTTATCAGAAGAAAATAAAAAATAGATTTTATAATTAATTGTGATCTTTAAGGACATTTACCTCAATCTCCCACTCAATACAAATCAAACTAATGTTCTCCCAAGAGAAGTACATAGTACTTTTATATTTACTGGTTCTGTGATGGATAGGAAAGAGATAGAGTTTGATTCCAGATAGACTCGGAATGCACATTCTACTTCTGCCATGAACTGTATGATTTGAGGGATGTTAATTAACCTTTCTGAATCTTAATTTTTTTTTTTTTTTTGTCAGAGAGAGAGGGAGAGCACAAGGAGGGGGAGTGGCAGGCAGAGATAGAAGCAGGCAGAAGGAGAAACAGGCTCCCCTCTGAGCAAGGAGCCCGATGTGGGACTCCATCCCAGGACCCTGGGATCATGACCTGAGCCGAAGGCAGATGCTAAAACAACTGAGCCACCCAGGTGTCCCTGAATCTTAATATTCTTTTTTTTTTTTAAAGATTTTATTTATTTATTTGAGAGAGAGAGAATGAGAGAGAGCACATGAGAGGGGGGAGGGTCAGAGGGAGAAGCAGGCTCCTCGCTGAGCAGGGAGCCCGATGTGGGACTCGATCCAGGGACTCCAGGATCATGACCTGAGCCGAAGGCAGTCGCTTAACCAACTGAGCCACCCAGGTGCCCGAATCTTAATATTCTTAATAAGATGGCTTTCTGGGTTCTTTTCCCGCATCTTATACTTATTTCTTTCACTTTCTTGGCTCAGAAACAACTTTAGTGTTTTGTCAAAAATTTGCATTCAGTCTCAAAATTGTTTAGGCTTGAGTCTGTCATCATATTAGTGATCCCTTTCAACCTTGTGTCAACTACAAATCTAGTAAATGTCCTCTTGATCATCATCAATATCATTGACAAGTGTTGAACAAAACAGCATTGAAGATATTTCACCAACTTATGTCCAAGACTACTCTATTTAAATAAATGTTCATGTTTTGGGCATGGTAGCAATTTCTCACCCTTATGAAATACAGTGAGGCACACTGGGCATGACTTGCTTTTAAAGAATCTATGTACATTCCTGGTCATCCTCACCTTCTTTCCTAAATGCTCATGTTATCGTATTTCCTGCTCCTCCCGTCATAGATTCGGCACCCCTTTCAAAATAAGTTCTTCATGGTTTCTCATTTATTTGCATTATGCTTGTATTTTCCTAACTTAAGTCATGATGTTGCTTTTGCCTGGGATGTTCTTTTCTCTAATTGCTACATGTCTAAATTCTACATATCATACAATGAGAAGTCCAAGTTATAATCTCTTAACAGAACATTTCTTTCTCTCTCTCTCTCTTTCTTTCTTCTCTTCTTTCTTTCTTTCTTTCTTTCTTTCTTTCTTTCTTTCTTTCTTTCTTTCTTTCTTTCTTTCTTTCTTTCTTTCTTTCTTTCTTCTGTCTCTTTCTTTCTTTCCTTCTTTTTTTAGAGGGAGAGAGCACAAGCAGGGAGGGGTAGAGGGAGAAGAAGAGAGAGAATTCCAAGCAGGCTCTAAGCTCAGCACGGAGCCTGACATGGGGCTGGATCTCATGACCCTGAGATCATGACCTGAGCCAAAATCGAGAGTCAGGCTCACAGACCTGAGCCACCCAGATGCCCCTCACAGAACATTTCTTAATCCTCTAAGGTAGACATCCTAAACTGGTAGCATGAAGATTGACTCTGACTTATTGATGTATTTTATTTGTATTTTTTAATCTGTATTTTAATGGTTTAAAAAATTTAAATTAGTCCACAACTTTTAAAATATGAATATCTAACAAAATGTTAAATACAAGATTTCTGGAACTTTTGGGGCCCTTCATTGCCAGGGTGAGAGTCAGCTGAAGTTTAGGGGTAACTGCTTCATTTGCACCTGTCATTGGCTCACTCATTTGCCTTACTTGTTGCTGGCCCTAGAAGGCTTTTGAGTTTGAGAATCGTGTCCTTTGACTGTAATACTACCTATTCTTCTGAATTCTCTTGAATCTGTTCTTTTCTTGTGAAACTGTTCTACTTTGTAAAATTATGCCCATCTGACATCTCCTCTATTTGTCTAGATGTTCCTTGTGAACAGAATCTGTATCTTATTAGTCTTTTATCCTCCAAATCTTTGTCTTATATTTAGCAGTTACTCCGCATTTATTCAAAATACATATGAGATTTTTAAAAAATTAGCATTATATATTCATCGGAGATCATTAGTTACTTGTAGCCAACATTTTTCAAAATCTATCCTCTTCCTTCTTTTACACACGTAGATATTAGCTGTCTAGTTTACTATCATTTCTTTCACTTCTTTGATTTCCTCTAGATATAGTTCAACAGGACTGTAAACCTCATTTATAAACCCCTATATATTTAACTGCTTCCTAGTAAGATAGAGGGACTACATCCTAATACTCACTGACTCTCATGCAAGAGTGCATAGACTGCCAATCACATAACTGGGAGTCAGATTTTGTAACCTGCTGATCCTTGAGCGGCAATTGTCTCTCTATTCAATTCGTATAACCTTCTCTAGTCACGGCTTTTGCTCCACCATCCACACTCCCTTCATATCCCGTTTCATTATGACCAAGGCTATTATGTTTTTTTATATTACTTTAGCTCCAGTAGAAATCAAACTAAGTCATCAAGTACACTTTTGGAAGTTAACTGATGTTATGAATCTTAATATAGTATTAGGAAAATTTCTATTTCATTCAAAGATTTCTGTCTTCCTGATTTTCTTTCTTTTTTATGTTTTCGTATATTTCTTCATGTATTCACTTTTACGGTTGAATTTTGCATGTTTTTCATATTAAGCCTCCTCAAATGTCTTATTTTTAAACTTAAGCATTATAGCTCCACATCAATTTGGATAAGGTTCAAGAAGAGATTACCACAGGATAAACTTAGGAACGCTATGAAAGGGTGACACTATTCCTTAGGCATCCTAAAAAAAGGTCAGGGTCACCTTGTTTCCTTCTTTGACAAAGTAACTAGACTGGTAGATGTGGGTATAGAGTAGATGCAGTGGACTGAACAGTGGCAAGGCGTGGGACAGTCCCTCGGAGTGTAATTGTGAAGGGACAGAGAATTAGGAGCAGACTCCTTTAACTGGTTCAACAACCAAACAAAAAGATGCTGATGGATGAATTAACACACCTGGGAAGAATAGATTACTGTCCCAGTAAGTGCTTTCGTAACTGACTTCAATGAAGGTGTAGAAAGCATGCTTTAAATATGAAGTTATCTATTATCCTCCCCTTTTGTGGTTCATTTCCTTGACATACAGAGAACGTTTCGTCTTGTTCATTTTGGCTGGTCATCACTGCATCACCTTCACTGATTGTATCAAATTCATCAGTTAAACTGTTCAAGGTGTCAGGGCTGGAGATCACCCCTGTGGTCATTCATCTCTTTCTTCTTAGAACTTCTATAAACTGTTCCACAGAAAATGGTACTGGATTGCTATGTTATATTATTGACTGATGAGTCTTGTTCTGTAGTTTTATCTACAACACGAGATTATGATTTGAAAGAAAGACAGGGGTTTATCTTATTCTCTTTTAAATTCTCCTACTGATATTTTTTGAATGAAAAAGTACAAACGGTTTTCATCTTCACTTACATTCTTTACTTATTAATCTTTTGGTTCTTTTATCTAAATGGCCTCCTAATCTTCTCTGTCACTCTTTGAAGCTGAGGTTCCTCAATGGTTTCTATTGCGTTATTCCTGTATTCTAGGAGTTTATAGTTTAGCAAGTAAGATACATACAATACAATTCAAGTATCATGTAGTAACATTCTAGAAAATACCTTGTTTCTGAAGTGCCATGAATGCATAAAGATCTGACTAATTTTTCTAAGATAGTATCATCAGAGAAGGGCTCATTAAAAAAAAAAAGATACACTTGCACAACCATGAGTCTTGAAGGATAATTAAGAGTTCTGTGGCAAAGTAAGACTGGGTGGCGGGGGGGATGTTGAGAAGAAGAGGAGGACACAGGGGGAGGTACAACTGAACTAAAACCCAGGCAAATAGACACAAGTGTGGGAAGACTATTGACTATATGAACACCAAATAGCTCTGCAGGCTGAAACACGGGCTACCTGATCAAGATGGTTGAAGAGCCCTGAAAACGGGCCAGGACCAAGTAGTTCCTGAAATGTCATGGTGTTTTCAGAGCGTGCAGTGGCCCAAGGTGATTTAGAGCTAGCTCTGAATCAGACCGTAATAAAAATTCTTGCACACTGACTTTTCCTACCACCCTAAATTGAAATTCATTCACCCTCTGGAAAACAAGCTAGGGTGAATTGCACATTGGTAACAATGGAAAAAGAGAAATAGTTTCAGCCCGACTAAATGTCTGGCTGTGCCTGCTCCTTTTGAAGCTTAATTACAACCATCAGAAGAAGCTTCTTAAATGTTTGCTAACAGTACAATATGAGGGGAAAGTTCGCCAAAGTCTTAAAAGCAGTGTTGCCTGGGTCAGGTGATTTAGTTCAAACAAATCATTATTTGGTTTGCCCTAAATGGGGGGGTGGGGTGGGGTGGGGGTGGGAAGCCTCTGCAAGATTTTTATTTCTAAGTTCTACAATCCCATTATTTCTGCTATCTGTGTTCTCTCCCAAGACTATCAACTGGGGGCAGGGGCAGCTACCCTAGGGAAAAATAAGTGGGAGTGCCTCCCCATTGCTTAATAAAGCTTAGCCAATAAAATTAAAGAGCTTTTAGCTCAGGATGCAAGGTTCTTCTGTGATCTGGCATATCTTCTGTCTCAATTTCATCTCCCAGTGTCTTTGTCAAATAGCAGAGGCTCAAACCACTAAAATCCTCAGTAATCTTCATTTTTCTCTTCCTATACTTTGCCCACTAATATTTTCTTTGCCTAAAACACATTGTTGCTACCTCTGCCTATCACAATCTGACTCAACTTTCTTGACTAAGCTAAGGTAAAGCCTATTCTAAAATGTTTTCCGCAGTTGCCCAGGAAGGAATCAGTCTTTCTCTTCTAACTTATATTAAAATAGAAGCATTTCATTTATAATAAAAAGCATTTTACCTTTCATGGCCTATAGCACGTGGTATAAGTCTTTACCTTATAGAAGTTATTCATTATTACTTAAGATACTATATAGCTTTTGAGAGTAGAGATTTATTTGACATATGCCAGTCAAAAATAGTAGGAACTATAAATAAGAGTTTAATAATAGTAAAAAAAATTAGGAGAAGCTAAATAACTATGTTGGGTAGAAGAATCAATGTTTGTATGATTCAATTTTCAAAAGCTAGATTTATTGTATTTGGTTACATTGCATATAGAGGGCTATGTGTTTGACTTGGGCTTGATGCCTGAGTATAAGAGAAATAATCCTGTATCTATCAGACAGTACAACCCAGAAACTCCCTTATCCTCATATCCTTGATGCAGGTAAATTTTGCACCATGCCTTTTATTACAAATTGTTTTCTGTAAGGTAATGATATAACACATTACCTCTATGTAAATAATTTACACAAGAGGAGGTGCTTCTCAACTGTGTAATGTCCTGGTGACTGTCTGTTTCCAGACAGCTTTTCTCCAAGCAGTGATGAAGAGACCCAGTCTCCTTTCAATTTGGGCTTCCACATGTGGCTTAAATTTGCTATGCTCATTTGCATCAAGGTGGTAGAAAGAAGACAAATACTGTGGGGCACCTGGATGGCTCCGTTGGTTAAGCGTCTGACTCTTGATTTCAGCTCAGTTCATAATCTCTGGTCGTGAGATGGAGCCCCAGGTCAGTCTCCATGCTCAGCACAGAGTCTGCTTGAGATTCTCTCTCCCTCTCCCTCTGCCCTGCCTGCTCATGCTGTCTCTCTCTCTCTCTAAAATAGATAAACACAGTCTTTAAAAAAAAAAAAGAAAAATATAGTGAAGAGTTCACACATGATTCTTCACCAACTTGGCTTAAAAGTGAAATGTCACACACCATTGGTGAGAACTAGTCACATGATCACACTTACATGCAACAAGGGTGGAAAAACCAATTTCCTTGTTGGGCTTTCACTTCCTAGCAATGATTCTATATTCTATTGGTGGGATATGAATTTTGTAGATAACTTGTCCCCCTGGCTCCGAGATAACCATGCACACTCCTCTTCCCAATCTTAAGACATACACACTTGACTTCTCACGAGAGACAATCCAAAATGCTATCCAGTCATTGCAACCAGCAAAAAGTCCTGATTTCTGAGAGTAGCTTTTTATGGCGACCCATATTGTAGGGAATGCTGCCAGTCCCTATTTCCTCTCCTATACTAATACATAATGGAGGAGTTTGCACAGGGTCACCACAATTCAGGCTCCCATTTGGAAAACAAGAGCAATGAGATACACAAGCCCATCACTGGAACGCAGCACTGACAAAATCTGCTTCCCTGGGCTTAGTGAAGTCTCCTGCTCTGGTAATGGGGCTCATTCTTTGATAATACTCTGATTTTATTACCTAGAGAATGTCCTTTTCCCCAGTTCTTTGCAGTTTCTGGCTTTGCCCTCTGATAGGATCTTATTTCCCTTTCTTCTTTCAAGGACCAATCTAAGAGTTTGGAAACACATTTAACCCTGGGGCTACACTACTTTCAAATTACTTCATGGTCCAGTTCAGGGGCTTAAAGTTTATTTAAGGTAAGTGGTTTTTTATCTTGGCTTCTAGTTTCTCTGGCAATTCCACTTGAAAAAAAAGAAAAAAGAAGAAAAAAATAGTTTCTCCAGCAATACAAATCCTCAAAATTTAGAAGTTTCCTGAACTATTTCTTTTACTTGTTTCGATTTTGGGGACTACATTCAGAATCCTTTCCTATTGCTGTAATTCTAAGGCCTACCTTAAGTCTTTTCTTTCTTGATCTCCATTCTCTAGCTCTACATTTAAGGATGGAATTTGTGGCCATCTGAAATAATGAGCGTAGGTGGGAAAGTAACATCTTTAATATGATCTTGGCAACAAACCTGAATGACTTTTTTCAATGGAGAAAATGCACGTGACTTTCGTTACTAATGGGTTTTTTTCAGTCTGTTTCTTACCTTGAGAGGTGAAGGCAAAAAGCTTTTTACTTTCCTCAGAAGCCTCACATATCTAGGTGTTCTCTATGTTCCCTTTAATTTCTACTAGTAAGCCTCCAAATACTTTTTTCAACTCACGTCTTTTTCATCATATGTTAAAATAAGAAAACAAAAACCAGGGGGCTCCTGGGTGGCTCAGTTAGTTAAGCATCCAACTCTTGGTTTCAATTAGGATCATGATCTCAGGGTCATGAGATCCAGCCCCGCATGGGTCTCTGTGCTCAGCATGGGTCTACTTGAGATTCTCTCTCTCCCTCTCCTTCTGCCCCTTCCCCTGCCCACAGTCTCTCTCTCTCTCTCTCTCAAATAAAATAAATAAATAAAATCTTAAACAAAAAAAAAAAAAAGAAAAACTGGAATATACTCTCACTGTGACTCCTTCCAATCTTTTCCCCCAGAATGACAGGCTCAGGAGGCATCTGGGGTAGCTCTTGCTTCATCACAGTGTGACAGTTGTAAAACCCAGTCTCAAAGCTGTTCACACTCTTCCCATCAAACAATAAGGTCCATAGTCCATCTCCTTCAACCTGGGCAGGTTTGGGATTTTGCCGGTCAGTGGAGTATGCCAGAATTAAGGCTGTGTAAGCTCTGAGGGTAGGTCATATAAGTCTCCACAGTGTGCACCTGGCTGTCTTGGAATGCCTGCTCTTAGGATGTTCCTTCTTGGTGCGCACGTTCAATAGATTTGAAGTGTGCCTTTTGTTCAATAAAGTGTTAGGCAAAATGATGCATAAAGAACCCAAAACATTTTTGAAGAAATTAAACAAGCCTAGACTGAAAGAGACAGTAAGAAATGAAGAGGCCACGTTTTGAGCAATATGATACAAAACATCTATGGACAGGAGGTAGGCTCAGAAAACCACTCAGCTGTAAACACAGGCCATGTTTTATGGGGTGTGTGTTTTTGATGGGGGCAGGGGAAGGTAACTCAGAGCGAATAACCAAGCGACCAGAGGACAGGACTGAAAACAATTACTCCCAGATAGCAGTGTGGGGCCTTTATCAAAAACTAGCAACTTGTGCCTGATTCCTGGAGATCTATAATGAAGGAAATGGCATGATAAAAAGTGTATTTAGACTGAATTATTCTGGCTGAACATATCATGCTGGCATGTAATGCTGAATGTTGAATGCATACTGAAAGAGTGGAAGCAAGGGTGGTAATTATTGTAATAATTCAAGTGAAATAAGACAGGGGCCACACTGGGAAATTAACAGGGAGGTGATGAAAAGTGGTTTGCTTTGGGGTGTATTTTGAAGATGGAGCCAAAAGACTTTGCGGATGGATCAGATGCTGGGTGTGAGAAAAAG